TGTTTCCTCTTTTAAAAGAAATGCAGATGACATGCAGCTACTGCTGATTTTTTTTTCCTCAGGGGGAACAGAGCAAAGGGGGCTAGATTATCTACAGATTGATATTATTGCTGTTTATCACACAAAAGCCTCTCCTCCAAGGAGCAAGCTGCATGGGACAGCACAGGGATTATAGGTCCTCACTGCTGTAGATGTAACCACAACTGAAAATACTAATTATCTTCCCAAACAGAGCTCCTCTGTAGCTGTAGCAGTCCAATGAGGAACATTAACACAACACCCCTGGGGGCAGCCAGCCATCTTTTACTTATTTCTGTTTGCTCGTTTTAAATGCTGGGGGAAAATTAAAGGAGGAAATGATGATATTAAAAAAAAAAAGGCTTTCACTGCTTGCCCCTCCCCACAGAAATAAAGATACAAACAACCAGAATCCATCTCCCCTCTGATGGGATGCTCCTGACAACAGTTATTACAGCTCCCAGCTGGGAGCTCACTCCTCAGTGCTATCTGCAGACTGTCACAGGCACAGGTTCCTGTAAGATTAGCAGGAGTAAGAAAAGATGCTGCCAGAAGTGTGTGCAGTCCATGCAGCCCTTCACACGCTGGCTGAGCACCACGAAGCAGCAGCCCCAGCTCCATCCCCAGTGTCAAAAAGCAGCCCATGGAAAGATGAGCACACTCAAGAGATAATGAGTTCCCCAGGGAGGAATCCAACATCCCAGCTTGAAAGAGATCTGCCAAGAATACATTTTTATTTACGCTCGTTTTGGATGTCCACAGCTCTACTGCAGGAAGCTGTAATCCCAACTTTCTCAGGTGCCGGCTCCCAACCTCCCAAGCCTTTTACCACTGACCTTCAGTGGCTCTTTAATTGCAACTAGCACTCTTGGTAAAATTAAAATGTACATTTTAATGGATCAATCTACCTTTTTAAAATGAAGATGAAAAGCCAAGCATTGCAATTAAGATTCATGGCCTGGCTGCCTGGTCTGATCTTCATGGTAGCTATTTTCCACTGCGGTAATGCAAAAACCCCAAACATTTCAATAACTTTTCATTGCTTCTCTTTACTTAAAAAAAAGGTCTGACAGTGGGGTTTGAAGGTGGCTACAGCCTGAGCAGAAGGGAAGGCACCAAGTTCCCTGCCCTGTGTCAGGCTCTGGAGCTGCTCTCTGCACACAGGATCCTGGGACAGGCACAAGGCACCACCTTGAATCTGGCCATAAGGACTAGACTCCTCTATGCTGTGAAAAAACTAATTTCTTATCCTGCATGTCATTAGAAGGTAACATGGCAGAGCCCATTTCAGGAATCCTGAATTCCTCCTGTAGAATTTTGCAGCCCTGAATTGTGCAGAAAGGGGCGACTGCTGTTCAGAACCCTCTAGTTCAGCTTAAGCACAGGGCAGGGTATTGCAGACCATGCACAGAACAGGAAGAAGAAGAGCATCCAAGAGGAAATGATCAAATTCAGTGATTATGAAGCTAGATAAAACTCACACTAACAAGATTAACTATATGAATAAGCTACTGCTAGGACTCTGCTTATTATCAGACCATTAGAGGACAGTCAGTTTTTTGCATGCAACATATTCCATTCCAAAAGTACATTCAGCAGGTAATAACACAAAGCTGTTGGGTAGAACCTGCCCTGTGCCTTTCAATGTGCTACTCTTCCCTGTATGCTACAAAGGGGCTTTATTTGTTTACTCAATTATTAGGTCTCCAAAAGAAAGTGTATTCCCCAGGTAACAGCAAAAAACATTCAGCAAAGGGGGAGCAGTGCTTCAAGTGGGCAATTACTCCACAATATGTGCCTGAATTAGCCATGGCAGAACCAAGGGCTTGCAGGAGGCAGCAACAGGTCAGACAGCAGCTCACCCAGAGTACATCTTGGGCAGGGACACACAAAATGAAGAAGGTGTGGCTGCCCCATCCCTAGAAGTGTCCCAACCAGGCTGGACAGGACATGGAGCACTCTGGTCTAAGTAAAAGGTGTCCCTGCCCATGGCAGGAGGCTGGAAGGAGATGAGCTTTAAGGTCCCTTCCACTCCAGGCCATTTGATGGTTTGATTCTATGAAAACACAAAGTGAGTCAGTGATGAAAACATCAGCTGCCAGTCTTGCAGTCTCTTCAGAGGCCAAGTGAGAAGCAAAGAGTCTCTCCTTAGCTGCTTCCCAAGCACACCCCATGGTTCCTCTAAGGACAGGAAATAAAGCCAGAGATGACTTTACCTGGGCATGTCCTTGTGCACTCACACCCTGGGTTCTGAAGAACCCCTTCTGTAATACATTGGTGGGGATCAAATGTGCTAAGGGTATCTTTTATGAAGATGACTATGCACAAACTAAGAACAGTTTAACATCCAGAGAAACTGTGACAGTATACAGAGATAGACTAACTGAAAAACCAATGCTAATAAACAATGTTTATTGAATAAATGATAAAGTGACTGAGAGCTTAGCTAAACCTAACTCCAAGAAAAATCAGATCAACGTGTGAATCCCACATCTTCATGCATTTTGTTTAAGAATCTCTGTTATGCTCTACCAGCTTCTGTAATGATTCAGAACTTCACAGATCCAAGATGATTTGTTAAGCAGAAAAAAAAGAATGTTTATTTGTCTTTAAAGCTTCCAGTCTTGGTTTAATGTTAAGGGTATGAACAAAACAATTAAAATTATCTTTACTGTTTCATGCACTGTTTTAAAAGAAAATACAAACATTCTAGTGTCTTCATATCTCATATATATTCAAATATTGCATCTTCAAGTCAATGATAATGACAAAAATCCATAATCTGAAATTACAGGGCAATTGTTTTGTTCTTATGTGACATTTGTGGTTACAGTTTAATAAAGAAAAAACAATGCTAAAAGATGAGAGACTCCTAAATGTGACTTGGTAATTACATTTTAATTAAAAAATGGAAGCAAGAAAAAGACATCTGTAAAGTATCAATTTGCTTTACAGACAAATAATTTCAAAAAACCCAAACAAACAAAAAACCAAATTTAACATTTATTTTGTTAGTTGCACAATAGCACCAACAAATATAATCACTAGCTGGTAGGTAGTGAGAAGCAGCACGAAATTCTGCAGTAAAGGTTTATTCTCACTAAAGATGAAAACATCCATAAATTCATCCCCTGAACACATTGCTTTCTGACACTGAAGGAAACCTCTCGAAGAACACTAATACATAAATATTGGAGAGTTAAATGCCCCTGGGTCAAAGGGTTAGTGTAATACAATATTTCTGTTACATTTTGCATTATTATCATTATGCTTGGTTTGCATTTTTACAGCACACAAAATCAAATTAGTTTGCTCTTCTGCTAAGTGCACGGCTCCTGGTGGCCATTAGTGTGACTCTCAGGTCAGGAGGAATCTGGAATTTGGCAAACACGTCTCTTCCTTCCAGAGGATCCTATCACCTATAAATCCTACTGAAAAGAGTGCAAGGGAAAATAGCAGAGCATATTTTAAAATTAAGATACTGCTACCTAAGAAACTTGGAACCATGAAGTTACTTGGAGATGCTGGATGAAAAATAAAATGTATTCAAAGCATCTGAACCTTACAGAACGAGTGACTGTTACTTACCAGAGCAATTAAATTATCAGGCACATTTCCTTGTGAGCTTTCTCTACACATCACTTGGGGATTGAAATGTTGCAGAAATCACAGAAATCTCACTACAAAAATTTTAGGCAGTTCCTGCTGAGATCCCTAATGAATGACCCCACAAATACAAAAATCCTTATCAGACCTCGTGAATACCCACACAACTATTTCATCCCTGCCCGAGATGACCTCAAAAAGAGTTTAGTATTCCAGTCACACTGACATTGCTACAATTATTTTTATATCAGTATCATTCATTTTTAGGTAGATTAATTATAATAAATATATGCTATATCAACAGACTTTTCATTACGGTCCATTTAACCTCATAAAACATAATTGATTCCTATTTGCTCTATGTGATCGATGCTTAGCACTCAGTGCTGAGCTGTGTTAGTAAAGGAGAACTCAGGGAAGGGCCATCTCTCTGTAGGATAAATAGCAATGTTGATATCCCATATAGCTTTGTCTGCATAAATATATGTCTATGCACTTATGGAGAACACAGAAATTAATACTGATGCTTGACTAACTAAAAAATCACATCTGAGAAACCATAATTTAGAAATCTGTAGTATTTACTAGTTTGTCTTTCCAGGCACATGCACTAGAAGAACTAGACCTCCTAGGTTACATAAATAAAAGGAATATTGGTACAATATACAGCTTTAAAAGCTCCCATTTTTAGCTCCCACTTTCCCCGGTGCTTTGGAAGATTGGTCTAAAAGTAGTTGTGACCTTGTGGACTCTAGAATGTCACAAAATGCAAGGAGGGAAAGGGAAAGGAAGGGAGCTGTGTCTGTGCCGTGCCCCTTGCTACAGCCTGCTGTGTTCTCAGCAACTGGAAAGCTCCAAATTTAATTTATGAATCAAAGAATAGTGAGCACTGCTGTTTTTCAGAGCACAGACCCACACCTGGAGGATCCCATGAGTGGACAAACTGTGGGATGAGACCCACACAGGCTGATTAATGAAATCCTTCCTTCCATGCTCGGGTTTTTCTGACAGATAGTTACATTCTGGGAAATCAACTCAGTGCCACAACATGAGCAATGTAGGAGCTGTTAGATCTGAAACTGCTCTGATTCAGGCAAGGCTGAAAGACATTATTTGCATTTCTGGGATCACAGTCTCACTTTGATCTGTCATAACAAGATATATGGAAATGTATAAAATTTATGTGCTTTTACTGAAGGAAAATAACAATAGCACATGCCTTGATACCTCAATTACTCAGAACCATGCATAGAATTCATCACTTCTGTAACTACTAGCAAATAGGATAATTGTAATATATATTAATGTGATCTGATGAAAATAGAACTTTCCAAAAATTTCAACTCTAAGAAATTAAATATTAGCTTAACATCACTGGACCTAACTGGATATTCAGCTCACCTCTCTAAAAAAGGAAAGCAAGTTTGAGACAAAAACTAACTTTAAAAACCGCAAACCCCAAAGATATTGGTGCAGTGCTGGTAATAGTGGGCAAATATTTCATAGCCAACTTCTTAACATTCAAATTTAACTATAGAAGAAGCTTATTCAATATTTGGAGGAAGAAATAACCTTGGTCAGAAACAGCTAATTTACTACTTGTTGCATTGAGTTTTAGTATGATGCATAGGAACAAATAACAAATAGATATATAAAAGGAAAAATTCACCAGTGTATTTCTAACTGTTGCTTTCCAGAACTTCTTAATTATGAAAGCGAGGAGGATGTATATTCTTTAAGCAAACATTCAGAGTGTAGCTTTGCCCTTTGGGCCAGTTAAAAGCCACTTAATTAAAATCTTAAACAATTTTTAACTCCAGCTCCCATGAAGATGAATTACTAGCAGAGAGTTACAGTTAAACAGGTATGTCAACCAAATCATCCACAGTCAGTTTTGCTATGTGAAAAACAGTCTCCACTATATATAAAATTATATTTCATGTTCCTGAGAAACCATTATTCAAAAGCTCACTGGCCCTGCATTTCTCTTAACGAGTTTATCAATTTTTAGAACACCAGGGTATAGTAATATTTAATACTACACACTAAATGTTAACCAAGATTTTGAAGCATTAAAAAATGCCAAGAGACAGTTTCAGATTTCAAGATGCCAAGCTTGTCCAGGCAACTAATCATCTCCCAGCACAAGAAAAACAACAGGAGAGCAGCTACAGCACAAGGACTTGGTGATTAATTTAACTCTTCCAGGTAAGCACTTCAGGAGGAAACTCTAAAGGCTCAATTAAGAGATGCTGAAGGAGGATTTCTGAATTCTTGCTGTGAGATGATGCTAGACCCAAAAGCTTTTACTTTCCTCTCCACTAAGGCAGAAGCAATTTCCTTTCATTAAGGACTCTGACAGCCCCTTAGGTCATGATGAAAGATCTGGTTTTTTCCTGTGTGAATCTGACATGCCAATCACCCAGTCAACCTCAGTGGAATAACATTTAGCAACTAAGGCACAAATAAGTGAGCACAGCTGGCCAACAGCTCTTCAAGGAGCAGCCTGGGCAGAATCTCCAGCCAATTCACTGCAACCACAACATCTGCATGCTTCCCCAGCAAACCCTCACTACATTTCACAGTGGTTATGGGCAGGGAATTAGCCACAAACCTTGCTCTTTGGAAGACCTGGGCAGGGTTCACTCTCCTAAATTGGGAAGCTAGTATTACTCTAGCAGGATGTCAACATCAGGTTAATGACTAGACAGCAGAAGAAGACAAATATTAATTCAATATTTGCTTTAATAGCACACTGGCTCTTTATGAATGAGAAGCAGCCATCCACAGTGCCCTTCTGTTGAGGCACTCCTAGCTGCTACAGGGCACTGGGGCTGCAGGGCTGAGGGCTCACTTCAGTCTGGACACTGAATTACTCTCACATGTGAGAGAGGCCAAGAACACACACACACGTTCACGTCCTGCAGCCTCAGACAGCTGCATGAACTCTGCAGGAATGTGCTACACATCTGCACGTACACTTCGCCCTTAACAACTGAAACTGGGATTTTACTGTTCCACTCGAAAATTTGCAGCCTGAGAAGAGCAGTGTTTCATCAGAATAATGCCTCTGTGGGTTTTGAAAGGCAACCTCAAAGGTTACAAAGGGTTAGAAATTGTAGGTGTTAGAAAAGTGAAAAAAAAAGTATGACTCCTCCTGTCTTCATTGCTCATCTGCTCTTGTCCTTCAAGAAAGTATTTCCTGCCAGGTTCTCAAATCACACCCACAAAAATTCAGTACTGTTATTAGTGAGATTACACCCCCCTCCTCTGATTTCTTAGGCACAAAAACATGGAAGGCACCCTGGACTTCAGAATCAAAAGAAAAGGAGACAAAAGCCTTAGGGAAATGGAAGGAACTGCCCAAATCACCATTCTCCTCACTGTCACCTTCCATTACTTATCCCAACAAAGACACCCAGCTGAAGAACTTGGACCCATGGCATAAAAGCATTCCCACCCCTCCGAGTTCCCTGCCTGGGGGAGCCCC